TCTCCTGCAAACTCCCCTCCCCTTTCGCTCCTCTTTTATTTCTTATGGGAGGGGCCATTCATTGTCCGTTTGTGGCCTTACTCCCAAGTCGACCCCTGTTCTTTAGCTGTTCCCTTCATCTGGCCACTCTGCACATGCGCACACTGGGAATGGGCTCCAGCTGTTTGTCTGCCTCACTGATGTCTGACTCTGAAGGCAGCTGATAACTGGCATACGGCTCTGGCCCCCTCTCTGCCTCCGACACAGAGCTCTCATCAGAACCTTCCGCAGACACCAGTACTGGCCCATGTTCCTCCCCAACCTCCTCACTGTCCGAATCTGCTGCCAACTTTGCTGGCCTCTGATGGGCCAATATAACTGCCATCCTTCAAGTCTTTTGTGAGCCCACGGGCAGTACAGAAAGAGGCTTTGTTAGGCTGTAAGTCAGTCCTTTTATTTCAGGGTACAAGCATCCGAGATCCCCCCCCCACCTTTCCACCGCCTTCCCCAGCCCCTTCCCTCCCAGTCTGAAATGCTGCCTCAGGAATATTGGGAGGCCAAACGAGAAATCAGTCCGTGCCATGCTGTTTCTCCTGGTTCACCCAGATGTCTTAACCGCCCTGTCCCAAGAACATGAAGCTTCGTGACCAACGGAAGTCCCGGTTTCTGATGTCGCAATGGTGTGGTGGTGGGCCTTCCGCGGAGGTCCTGTTCCCCGTGGGAATAAAACGGCGTGGAGGGTGAAGGCTTCCAAGCAAACATCTTGAGATGGTCAAGACGGAGGAAGAACGAGGCCCCTCCCTAGATATCCCTCTCTCGTCTTCACTTTGCAAACCTGATTTAGGCATTCAAGGCTGGTGAACAGGGGGAAAAAAAAGAACCCACATTCCCTCTATTTAAGGGAAATACCTATCTTGATTGAAAAGGCCTACGCTGCCTAGGAGGACATCACTGTCGCTATATTGAGCCGGAAAAGCAATAAGACAGAAATAACTAGGGGGTGGGATGGGGCCAAAGATTATGCTTAAGGCCAACTAAACATTTGTGGCTTGCCGTGACTTCTACGGTGGTTAAATCACACAGGTTTTGAGTGACCCTTTTCAGTAATGGATTTATGAATATCCATTTCAAACGTTGCAAACTTACTCCTTCCATACCTATCCCATACCGGCCCACGAAATACAGTACTGACAGTGAAGGGATCTTTTTCCCCAAAGGGAGATAAAAAAAATAATGGAAAGGAGGGGACAAAAACCAATTATTTGTGTTGTTATGGCAAGACTCTCCCTTTGATGCCAAATACCATCCCTTCCGATGCACCCTGGGAAAAAGATCTAAAACGCTGTTGTTGTTGTTTTTTAATTTAAAATGCATTTTTTAAACCAAATTCTTGTTGGGCTGGTGGGTTTATTTGCAGGGTGAATGTTTTGATTGCTTGATGTTGAGTTCCGTAGACTTATCTTGGGAGCTATCTTTTTTTATTTTTATTTTTGTTTATTTGTTTTTCCAAAGAATACCAAACACCATCCCTCGAAATAGGCCTGGAGTTTCCTGCTGCTACGTCGATGGCCAATTGGATTATTGTTTTCCCCCCCTTCCCGCAACGAGGAACGTTGGATTGCCATAATAGGGTCGTCACAGACAGGGAGATCTGGCCTTAGCTGTTGACGGTTAGTGTGAAAATGATTCGCCCCAAAAAACGATCGTTGTTAACGGTGTTGATAATCCCTTTGCCATTCAGCTGGCATTGAAGGTTCAAGGTCTGGTTTCTCGTAATTCCTGTGAAATGAATGGCTACCAAAGGTTGTGTGTAGTTCACCTGGAAAAGGAGCAATCAAGCGAGACCTTTTATTTCAGACGTAAAACGGAAAGCAATGAAAAACAACCTAAGCGGTAACCTGTACAGGTGGGCTCCAGGAAGTGGTTATCACTTCGAGCAATGACAATGATTTAAAACAGAAAGCTTTGGCGTAAAAGGCAGGCAGGGAATCCTCGATTTATGACAACACTGGGAACATCCATTGCTGAGCCTCGTTACGCGAGTCATACCCTATTTTTAGAACATCTGTCTGAAGGCGTACTGTATTGGGGAAACATCTGTCTGAAGGACTATATTGGAGAAACATCTGTCTGAAGGAATATTGTATCTGGGCAAACATCTGTCTGAAGGAGTACTGTGTCGGCCTAACATCTGTCTGAAGGAGTACTGTGTCGGCCTAACATCTGTCTGAAGGAGTACTGTGTCGGCCTAACATCTGTCT